GCAAGGGCCGCGAAATTTGGCGGCCGTCCTGCCGAACAGGTACATCCCAGCAACGACCGACATGGTGTTGGAGGTCACGCCGATCCGGCCCACCTTCAGGGCCGCCCCCAAAGGGGGCAGGAGGATTTGAGTTGAGACTCGGGTTCGGCGCTGGGTTCGAAGAGAGAGCAAGCCAGAGAGCGGTGCAATCCCACCAGCCCTTTGGGCGTGAGTGGTTTAGAGAGCTCTCTCTGTTCTCAACCCCCCATCTTCCCCTTCGGGGAGGGGTTTACCCCTCCCCCTACCCCCTCCCCCTGGACCTGGACAGGGAGTCCGGGGCGTAGTCAGGGGGGTCTTTTTTGACTCCTGGGAGGGCCAAAAAACGACGACCCTCACGAGGATTCTGGCCCCGTCGGGGGGATACAGTTTGGCCCCTCTGCTCTTCTTGGAAGCCAAAATCGTTGATTTTACTACGGTTTTGGCCCCATTTTGGCGTCCTGAGGGGGCCGCGCTCATCTTCCTTCATAGCAAAATATTGTTTTTACGAAGGTTTTGGGCTCATTTTGTTTGTCGAGGGGGGCCCGAACGACTCACACCTCCGAACGACTCACACCACTGCCCGAACGACTGAACGACTCTCACACCACGAGGAGCCCGAACTCACACCAGGAGGACGAACGACTCACCAGGAGACGAACGCCCCGAACGACTCACACCAGGACGAAGAGCCCGAACGACTCACACCACGAAGAGCCCGAACGACTCACACCAGGAAGAAGGGCCCGAACGACTACGAGAAACCCCAAACGACTCAAATCACGAGGAGTGCTTTCTCTCCCTCCTCCTCCGCCTCGTCCTTCTCCCGCTCCCCCCACAAGGAGGATGTACAAGGAGGCGGGAGGGAGGAGGAACAGGGGAGATATGCGGGGCCAAGCGGACACGCGCCTGAAAAACACGACTGTCGGCATGCTTCGCAAGAGTTGCTGCAGTGAGATGGGCTGGTGGGGATACGCGAAGCGTAAAGAATTCTTCTAGCACCTTGGCGAGGCCTTCGTCAAGTCACTTGCACCCCTCGGGGTCGGTGCAATGGGAAGGGAAGCCAAGGCGCCCGACCATCAAGAGGGTGCAAGAGGAACACGATCTGCGGGGAAGGGGCAGCAAAGAGGGCGGGGGGGGACCAAGAGCACAGGAGGGCCCTGCATGGGCCTCGTGCAGACGAGAAGAAAAAGCAGAAGGTGGAGACAACCCGACACAAACATCATGTGTCGAAGGTCCGCGCGGACTTCTTGGATCGGCGCTGGGCCCCCATCCCTGGCGCGCGGAGCGCGCCAGAGGCAGCTCCAGAGGCGCCCCCGGGAGGGCCCAGCGCCGAACCAAGAAATCCGCGCGGACCTCCGAACGCTTGCGCTCATGCTGGCTCTCTTCGTCAATGGGAGCGGGCGGGACACCAGCAGCGCGCGCCGGAGCAGCCAGGGAGTCGACTCGGCCAGTGTGCCTTTCGGATTTCGGATACCTGCTCGGGTGTCCAGCGGCCCCTGGGGACGATTCGGGCGGGACGCACCCCGACAATGGAAAATCGCAGAGGGCCGACGAACCTATACGGAAACCTCAAACCTCGAACGCGACGAGAGCAAAAACCTGGACCTGGGCCCCTCTACACGTCGTTCATTTCTAATCTTGCTCATTTCTAATTGTGCTCGTTTCTAATTGTTCCTAGCCCCCTCGTGGCCAGGAAGAGACCCAGGATAGAAGAATTAGAAATGAAAGGATTTTGGCCCCCCCAAAATCAAAGAACATTCGAATAATTAGAAATGAACAATGTGTAGCCCTTTTGGAATAGTGGGGCCTCCCCGACTGGCCAGCTCGAGGCGATGTCTCTCAGGCCAGGGACGAAGGACCAGCACACGGTCCACACAAAGGCTCTGGTGTTGGAGGGGTGCCGCCGCGACCATGTGAAGCACGCGAAACGGAACGATAGGGGGCCACATGCGAACCCTACCCCTACACCCCACGATTTCTGAGGGGGAGGGGGAGGTTCACTTCGCTCGGGAGCTCCCGAACGAAATGAACCACCCACACACACCCTCAGAAATCGTGGGAGGTAGGGGTAGGGTTCGCTTGTGGCCCCCTAAACGAGCGCCGCGGCAGCTGCCCAGCTGTGCCAGTGTAGTCTCTATCCTGCCGCGACGCGGCGGTGTAGTCCCCGCAGCGCCGCGACGCGGCCAGTGTAGTCCCTACCCTTCCGTGGACCCAGTGCCGAGCGTCGATTCCTGCGGTGCGCTGACCATGTCCCTTGCCTGGGACGTCCTCCGCGGAGGACGCCGGCACGCCTGCGTCGCCGCCCTCTCTGGCCGAGCCGCGCCATGTCTTCAGAGCGCGGTCCTGCGCACCTCGGCGGCGACGCGTCACTTGCGATGCGCCCGCGCCCCACGCGACATTCTTTCCAGAAAGCGCCACGGCCGCCCCGCCATCGACTGCTCACCGGTTGAGCAGCCAGCCTGCGCCGCAGCGTGGGGCCCCTGGAGCGCCAGCGTCAAGGAAAAACGGTGTCCGCACCAGCCGAAGAGACGACCACCGCGAGGGCTCCAGCAAGCTTTACACGTCAGGATGCGCCACGCACGTCCTTGGCTCTCCTGCCGCACCCACCACGCCCCAGCCTGCGGTGGTCGCGCTCCGCGCTGCCCCTCGGCGACGGCGCCGCCCGCGCGGATGTGGCGGGAAGGCCGGCGACGGGAGCATGGCTGAGTTGGCCGTGGACGGGTGCTGGGCGGCGGAGGGAGCGGCGCGGGGCGCCGCGGCTTCCGCCTCGCCGCTGGAGCCCGACGAAGGGGCTGATAGGCTGCCCATCGTCTGGGGAGCCTTCCGGCCAGCGCGAGGCACGTCGGCGCGCAGCCGGGAGGTGCGCGCCACGCCCGAACGTGTCCATGTCCACCGCTTCGGAGTCGCGCCCTGGGATCTCGAGGAAAGGTAGACACCGAGATCTGCCCGCAGATGCCCACACGTCGCCGCGCCGTTTGTTCTCGACGCGCCCAAATGGGCGACATCGGCACCACGGCAAACCCGAGGCAAGCCCTGCCCCAGCAGACGAGGCCGCCACGCGGCAAACCGGCGGCGCACCCGCGTGCCCGCGGCGCCCTCCCCAAGACGCAAGGCCGCGCGCAGGAACGAGCGGCGCGGCGACACGTCTGCCCGCAGATGCTCACATCCACCACGTCCACCACCCCCTGGGTCTCCGGGGCACGACCCTGCGGCCGCGGGCATGGACATGCTCTGGCGGAGCAGCACGGGCAGCCCGTTTCGAGGGCCGAGGGTTATGAAGCAAGCCACGTGCTACAGACCCTCGATTCGCGAAAACCCAAAACAATAGTGTTGTTAGTCGTGTTGGGAGTCGTGCGTAGGTTTTTTTTGCGACACCTGGAATAAGTCGTGTACAGAATACTGCTTTCCAGGGAAAGAGTAGTGTAAGTTGTCGGCTTTTTCAGAAAGACGTGCGTTCGCCGCGCGGTACTCGATCAAAAATCCAAGCAGTCGTGTCTTGGAAGCTTCGGAAATCGAGGGCTCGATCCGACAAATCGGAGAAGACCGAGCGGCCCCCAACGCTTCGAGAAATCCGACCCGAAAGTCCACAAATCGGAGTTCTGATCGCACGCAGCGCGGCGGGGTAATTTCACCGCGCGCTACTAACTGCCAACATGGTTTCCAGCACCCCCAGAAAGCAACATTGAGCATGCGACTGCTTTCCGATGCCCCCACCAGGGTACACAGGTCTACCTTCAACACACAACTCAGGATGAGTTCAAGTTAGCTGGGGCAGGAAAGGGGGAATACAAACACGAGGAAGTGGGAGAGGGAGTTGCAGGGGGAGGCGGGCAGACGACGAGGAGGGGTCTGGCGGAAAGGCGGCGGCCTCAACACGACACCGCATTCAGACCACCGTGTTTTTGTTCATTTGTTGCTGCGCTCGGCGGGTGCAGGCATCCCGAGCACAACGACGCAGACGAGCCAGCAAGAGTCGTCTTGCTGGCCTCTTTTTATAATCAGCCCATCGGCTGGCCAGGGCGAGAGCCATCTTCTGAATAAGAACCGTGTCTGTTGCGTGTGTTCCTCCCCCTCCTCATCCCCTTCCTCCCCCCCCCTCATCATCATCGAAACCTCATCATCATCATCATCATCATCATCATCATCATCATCATCATCATCATACTCATCATCATCATCGGCATCTCGCGCCTCGGCCCACGCCGAGCGAGCGCCGCCCTACTGCAGGCAACGAGCCTTCTCGGTCTGCGCCCAAACGGCTGCATGCAAGACCGAGCTCGGGTCGACACCAATCGATCTCAGCATCTCGACGCGCTTGCCTATGGCAGTGCGCTTCTTGACCTTGTCGGCCTTGTGGGCCTCAAGGTCATAAACTATGAGGCCGCTCACGTAAGTCGCGAGGCCTTTGACAACGAGGTCGGGGAAAGAAGCGAAACGTGGATCTACATCACTGTCGAACGCAGCGACCAGATCTGCAGCATCCTGGTGGGCCTGGGGGGGCGGGGCAGTGGTCATCGCCATCGCCATCGTCATCGTCATCATCATCACCATCATGAACCTCATCATGATCATCACCACCGTCATCAGCATCATCATCATCGCCATCATCACTACCACCCTGCCCACCAAGGCTGGGGGGCATGAGGACCAGGAGGGGTGCGCCATGAAGGCGAAGGGTTGGAGAACTGGGAGGCGGCGGAGGCGAGAGTAAAAGGGGCACATGGGATTTGGGCGGAAAGGAAATGAGGGAATGGAGAGAAAGGAGGGTGAAGACAGAAGGGATGGGAGAAGGGAGGGCAGAAGTGAGGCCGTCATGCCCCCCTACACCCACACTCCAACGATCCCCGTACTCCCACTTGCTACTCCCTACTAAAACGATTCGCCTAAGAGGGGGGAGGAGGGGGAAGAATGATCTCCCCCCGACTCGGACTCCCCCCAAACCTTACACAGCCTCCTCAACCCCACCCCCATCACCCTCCTCATCACCATGCCTCCGTCAAGCGCCCGAGGCAAGCGTGGAAGCGCAGCGGGTCTGGCATCTTGCAGACCGTGACGTCGAGCGTCGCCTTGACAGTCTTCCAGTCGTTGTGCTCGAGGCCGTCGGTCCAATGTCCGTTCTCGACACCGCCCTGCCACGTCGTGACTGTCAAGAGCGCGTCCGCAACGTTCTCGTGCATTGAATCGAGAGTGGTCTTCACAGCGTTCCCGATTGCAGCGTCAGCAGGCCCCGCCAGCTTGGCCAGGAGGTCAGTGACGCCGTGCGTGGAACCGATCTCGGTGAACTCGGCGAACGCGTTCTTGGCGCTCTTGTTGACACGATGCAGCGCATCCAGCGCCTCGCGATCTGGCGGGGCCAAGCTCATGGTCGCATCACGAGGCAAACCCACGAAACACACGGCCAGGCGCGTCAAGCCATCGCACCACTTCGCCGCCCCACGGTACATCTGCAGTGCCTGGGACTGCTGGTCAGCGGGAATGTCCATCATCAGCATGACCTTCGAGTATCCCAAGTTCTGCTTGAGCTCGTCCGTTGGCATGGCCAAGCCCTCGGAGCAAAACAGCGACACGCCATGCAACATGAACTCGTCGATCTTCTGGCAAGCGTCCATGAATAAGTTCACGTCCTCGGGGCGCTGGAGCTTCAGGCCATGCGAGCGCTGCATCACAACTCCAAGCTGAGACAACGTCTGTGTACTCGCCTCCTGGGCGACCTCCTTGACGGCCTTCACGAACTCATCCAGGGTAGCTCCCGCCTGCACGCTCAGCAAGATTGTGGAAATGTCGGTCATCCACTCCGAGATGTCATTTAAGAATGGGAAGCTGTCCGACGCAATGGCCAATATCTTCTGGAAGGCCTGGACGTCTTTGACGATCGCTTTGCCATCCGCGTATCTGCGTTTCGTCGCAACCACCTCAGCTCGAATCAGATCGACAAGCATGTCCTCCAGAGGTTGCATCATGCCGTTGACCAAGCCCGCCTGCAAGCGCGGTACATTGGGAAGCACCTTGCTCAAAGCAACAGCTCGAGTCTCATCCGTAGCTTCCGTCATGTCGGCTCTGCACCTCTGATATGTGGGTCCGAGCTCGCTGATCTGGCCGACGGACCTGCACACTGCATTGAACCTCTTCAGCCACTCGTCGCGGCCCTTCAATGCGTCGAGAACAGACCTGAAGATCTGGCCCTTGCCCTGGTCAACCTCGGGCGAGTTTGTGAAAGCGGCTAGCTCGACGTCCTCGGCCAGCAACAGGCTCGGATTGAGAATTTGGTACACGAACGTAATGGTATCCATCATATCGGCCAGACACGACAACTCCGCCGACGGCACCTGGGAGGACCACGGATGGATCAAATAAGCTCGCACCTACCAGACAAGTGCCATCCCCGTGCAGCTCCGACCCCCGCCTCTAGCACCCCTGGACCAAGAATATGATTCGGCTGGGCATAGCATGCTGCATTTGCGTCGCAGAGGCAATCGCCAGCTTGGGTGCCGAACGCCATGCCCGTGCGATGTGGCTACAGTAGCTATTGGTAGCGAGGCGCGGCTATCATCACTGTGGCCCGACCCACGCGCGAGGGAAACAAGACGGCTAGCCGCATGATCTGGCAACGTGACGCACGCAGCGAATATTTGGCGGACCGACCCAACGCACGGGATTGCAACGAGGCGGCGCGGACGGTAACGCTGCGAAACCTCGGCGGACCCACGCGACGCGCGAAGCGGCATCGGAAGGGCAACGCGGCGGCACAGGCAGAAGCGACAAGTGGCGAATTCCCGCAGGGCTGTCTCAACCCCACAGAGATCACAGCGAACTTCCACATTGTCAGAACTGCAATTGCTTAGCCACCGATCGCGCGATGCGGCAAGGAGGCGGCGCCAGACAACGAGGCGAATTTTAGGCGGACCCACCGAGCGAACCATGCGGCATCGAACCTCGATGGAACGTCGGCGGCAACGCGGCGAAACCACGGTGGACCCATACGCACCTTTCAGAACGCGAAATCAACCCTTCAAATCACACCAGCCCTCTGAACGTGAGTGGTAGGTAACCCGTTCGATGCACCCCCCCCTCTTCCACTTGCGGGCACCCCTCCCCATGCCCCCGTCCCCTTGGGCCTGGAGGGGGAGCTCCGCTGGCAATTGAGGGCCTCCTATGCGACCCCTGGGAGGGCTATTCTTTGACACCCATCGCAAAAATCGCGGCCTCCAGCGGAGGCAGGGGGGGGTGCCATCGACGCCGTGGCTTCTCATGCCAGGTTGTCTTCAAGAGACGCCTCCGGCCCTCCAAGACGACCCAATGCACACGCGCCCAAGATCTTCGCGCAAGCTTTTCGAAGGAGCTCGCGCGAAGCTTGTCGAACCACCCGCACGAGCCAAGATGAGGGGAACGATGGGGAACGCGGGAGATGAGCAGAAGGGAAGGGGTGCAGCCAGAAGCGAAAGAGGAGGAGAAAGCGGAATCAACGCCCGACGGAGAGCGCCATTCGTTGTAGTGGGTATTGTTGGATGGGCTGGTGAGGATTCGCAAAGCGTGAACGATTACAACAGCTCGCGTGCGCCATTGTCATCCATGTACATCATGCACGTCACTGTACATGTTATACATCTGGCCCTCCTGCCCCTCCATTTCTGTCGGGTGGGTGAGGATGAAGGGGGGGGGGGGGAGGGGCTGAGGGAAGAGCGTGCCAGTGGCGGTGGGAGAAGGCAATACGTCCACCGCAACAGAGTGGGCGAACGCGGCATCCAAGCACGCGGGGTGCGGTGCGGCCAGACAACAGGCGAGCCCAAGACTTTTTTGGTGGACCTGTGATGGCGGGGGCAGCCAGGAGAACATTCCCCTGGGGGAAACTCCGACACGCTGACCTGAATTGTGACTGGTCGCACCTGTCCCATGACGGGGTTATTCCCAGCAGCCGATGGCACAACCCATGTCGCAACTAGGCGGCGGTACGTTTTCGGGTGCGGAGGTGCAACCTACGGCGACTCGAATTGTTGGCCTTGTTCTCGGCGAGCGGAAATACAACTTACGGCAGAACCAACAATATACTGTTTGATTATCGGCGGCCGTCCGCGCGTGCTTTAGCGCAACCAACAGGAAACTGTGTTTCCTCGACGGCCGATGGCGCAACTCATGGCGCAACCAATGTGGGGTGGGTCCCCGACGGGCAAGGACGCAACTTATGGCGCAACAAATGCGAGCGGTGGCATTCTCGGCGGCCGAGGGCGCAACCTATGGCGCAACCAACGCGATGCGATTTCCATCTCGGCGCGGCGCAACCTTTGGCGAGCCATATGCGAGACGATGTCAACCTTTGCGGCGGATGACGCAAACTATTGCGCAACCGAGGGGGGACTTGGTTTGATTTCGACGACCCAGGCACCCGCCTATGACGCCACCAATGCAGGCAGATTTCGTCTCGGCGGCCGCGGGCACAACCCATGGCGCACTCAATGTGCGGCTGTCTTATTCTCGCCGAGCGAGCGCGCAACTTATGGCGCAACCCGCAGGATGCGGTTTTCTTCTCGGCGGTTGAGGGTGCATCCGATGGTGCAACCAGCGCGATACTGGTCCATTATCGCCGAACGGACGTGCAACCCATAGCTGGACCAACACCACGCGTCGTTTTCATTCTCGGCGGCTGAAGGCGGACCCCATGGGCAACCAATGGGGCGCGGTGCGATCCTCGGCGGATGAGGCGCAACCTCGAGCGCAACCAACGAGAAACCTTGTATCCCCGACAGCCGTGGACGCAACTTCCGGCGCAACCCATGCGTCATGGTTGTAGTCTCGCCGACCGAGGGCGCAATGCATGGCGCAACCCTCACAAGACGGTTGCAATCTCGGCGGCCGAAGGCGCACACGTTGGCGCAACCAATGCGGTGCGGGTTTCGCATCGGAGGCCGAGGGTGCAACCGTTTGCCCAACCAGTAATACACAGTTGTACTCTCGATCGCCGAGGGCGCAACCCAACGCGCAGCAAATAAGGGACAACGGTTCTTTTCGGCGGCCGAGGGCACAACCTCTGGGATAGCAGCCAGGGGCGGTTCACGTCTTGTCGGCCGAGCTCGCAACTTATGGCGCCATGAGTGCGGGGCGCTGTGCTTTTCTCAGCGGCAGAGGGCGCGCCCTGTAGCGCGACCAATATGCTCTGCGGCCGACAGCGCAACTTCTTGTGCGACTAATAAGGGACGGTTATGTTCTCGGCGTTTGGCGGCGAAGCCTATGGCGTAATCAGTTGGAGGCGGTGGTATCTTCAGAGGCCGAAGCCGAAGCCCATGGCGCAGCCAACAGGAGATGACGCGTTTCTTTGCTATCGATGGCGCGACACATGGCGCACACATGCGAAATTGTTATATCCTCGGCAACCGAATGACCAACAAAAGGCGCGATGAACGCGATAATGCGTTTTTTCTCGGTGGGCGAGGGGGGTGGGGGCAACCAATGGCACAACAACTAGAAGACGCGTTCCCGCGGCGGCTGAAGCGGAACCTTCAGCGCAGCCCCATAGGAGAGCGTTTTATTTCGGCGGTTGAGGGCGCAACTTACGGCGCAACCAAGTGGTTGCAATTTATTCGCGGCGGCCGATTGTACAACCTATGACGCACCCGATAGGACGCGTGTTGGGGTTCTGTTGTTGAAGACGCAACCCGCAGCGCAACCCATATGAGTGCTTGTCCCCCTCTGCGGCCGAGGGCACACCATATGCCGCGCCCAGCGGGGGAACTGTCGCAGTTCCGTCGGCAACGGGGGCGATTGCGTCGGCGGCGGCGGCGGCGGCGGCGGCGATGATGGCCACCGCCACCACGACGCCCAATGCAACGATGGGCACGCCGACGCTGGGAAATGGTTAGTTTCCCAGCCCAGAGGGGGGAGGCGGAGGAGGACACGCCACTCGGGAGGGGACCCCTTGTCGAGCTTGCCAGCAGGGCGTCATCTCCAGGAGAGGTCCTCTCATCGGTGGCGCCTTCTGCGCCGTTGTTTCAACCGAAGGCGCATAAAAATGACCGCGGTCATTTTTATGCGGCTGTCGTGCTGGGCTGAGATCGGCCTTGGGTCAGTTGGAGTGGGCGGGCCACCGACACCTTGGTTGCGCAACCTGCGTCGCAGGCAGACCCAGACATGCGACGTCCTGAAAACATCAGGGCAGAGGTTTTGGCAGTTTCTTCGGCCTCCTGGATCGTGCGCATTGGACGTTCAATTCTTGCGCATCGCGATGCGGCTGCCACCCTAGCAAAGCGTGTTTTCGAAACGTATTCCAGCAAGGAGAGGCGCCAACTATAGGACCACGAAATGAAGGGCCCGAACGACTCACCCCGACCGAGAAGCGGGGGGCCCGAACGACCCACCCCCGACCGAGAATTGAGGGGCCCGAACAACCCATCTCCGATCGAGAGCGGGAGGCCCGAACGACCCATCCCCGACAGAAGTGACTGGCCCGAACGACCCACTTCCGACCGAGAGAACGGAGGGTCCCGACCGACTCACTTCCGGCCGATAACTGATGAGCCCGAACGACTCACCTCCGACCGAAAACGGAGGGGCCCGAACGACTCACCCCCGACCGAGAATTGAGGGGTCCGAGCGGTTCATGTCCGCCCGCACCCAGGGAGTTGGGTGGATAGCAGTGTCATTGCAAAGCGTTGCATTGTCATGGCGCGCTTCCGATCGGGAAACTCGAGGCGCCATCTTGGGACTCTGAAGGCCCTTCTGGGGGACTTCTTGAGGCTCATGGTTGGCCTCCCCTCCGAGCTCGAGGGAGCTCGGAGGGCCGCCAGCGCCCTACCCGCCGCCCCCAGAGGCGCATCCAGGATAGCCTCCCGAAGGCCCCTGATCACATTTGCGATGTCCCAGCCCCCTCCCCCTACATGGCGGCCCGACCCAGCACTGCAGGGCCGAAGATTTGCCTCAGAGAGGCAACGCCGACAGTTATGACGATCACACCGCCCCCAAAATGGCCCAAAGCGGTTCGCAGAAGCCACCGAGGCACGGCAACAATGGCCCGCGAGGCCCTTACCGAGCCACCAAGATAAGCCACGAAAAACGCGCCCACCCAAAACAACATAACACATCCAGAATCACCCCGAGAAACCACCAGGAAACAACCGAGAAGCACCACTGGAAACAATGCCTTCAGGATGCCTCTGAACGACAGCGCAGGCACGGCAGCGGCATGAGCCGAAGGTCTTAGTTAATGTGCAAGCGCATGTGCAAACATGATTTGTCAAGGTTCACGGTTCGCTGATGTTCCAATGGCTCACCTCCATCTCAGCTTCCGCGACCTCCATGCAGAACTTCTCGATGTACTCCAGGACGCTGCTCAAGACGGGGATGCCGCCGTCGCCCGCCATGATCAGCGGCTCAATGATTTTTTTACCCACCACCTACGAAAAGAACGACACCTTCCACGGCGAGTCCCGACACTCGCACAGCGCGGCCTTCGGAGCCTTCACGTTGTAGACCTCGCCAGCGGTGACCTGCGACGCCCGCCAAGGCAAGGTAATGGTGACCAGCTCCTTGGCCATGTTCTCGTCGCACTTGCCCTTGAGTTGCTCCTTCTTCGCCCTGTGCAACAAATTCTTGTGAACATCACTCGGGATCGGAATGCCTTCGTCCTTCAGCGCGTCCAGAGCTAGGTGCAACATCTCAGGCGACTGATCCATGATCACAGAGTAGTGCAGCATCTCGGCGTAGTTGAAAATCTTCAGCTTCTTCCGCATCTCCTTTGCCTCGTCCGTCCAACCGTGCTTGCGCAGCTTCTCGGCAGCGTCGGCCACGTGATGCTTGGCGACCCCCTGCTTGCCCTTGGTCATGGCACCCACGAAGTCTACTCTCCATGTAGACAACGACGGTCTCCTGATTCAACGACTGGATGCGCACTTGCGCTGGCAACTGGCTGCCCTCCAAGCCGCCCGCAGTCCGGAAGCTGACCAACGACTCGCCTGCCACGGAGGCGGCATCGTCCATGCCTTCGGGAGACCTGGCGGCGCCGCCAGGCGGAGTCCTGGCAGCGATCGGAGTCAACGGATCGTGGTGGAGCGACATGCCACTACTCTGGCGACGAGGTGCCGCAGGCGGTGGCATCGGCGGCTGCCTCGACCCCGACGAGGCTGCCTCGACGACGACGGCGCCACCTTCATCGCTAGGATCGCCATCGCCACCATCACCGCCAAGGCGGTCATCCCGCGTAGTCGGCCCCATGTGGTCAGCGCCGCGCCTCGCAGCTCTGTTGGAGCCCCTGCGCTCGTTCAGCCCTGCGGACTTCGCCTTGATGTCGTCCAGCTCGGGCGGGGCGACGATGAAGGAAGCCTCAAGCGTTGCGCCCTTCTCGTTCGGTACAAGCGCCTCCGAGAGAACCTCGCCGCAAACCATGTTCAGGCACCTCGAGTCCTGCTGATTGAAGTAGTGCCGATCTGGGGTGAGCCTCTGAGCGCAACGATCCGCCATGAAGGTGTCGAAAAACTCCACCACGCGGTACTTGCTGAGCGGGTCGTATTCGAACTGCCACACTTTCTCGACCGATCCTGGCTCCCTGGGGTTCGGCAGCATCATAGTCGGGACGTGCTTCACGACCATGCCCTTGGGATCCCTGTCGAGCTCCGCCCTCAACTCACTGGCGTTCAGAACATTGACGTACCGCTTCACCGTGTAGCCCGAGGAATGCGACGCCGCCACCGTGGAAGGAATGAAATCCCTCGCCTTCTCCCCCCTCTTCACTGCGAGACCAGCAGACACAGCATTGTTCTCGTTGCCAGTGTTCTCGGCGGCCATCTCCTCGAAGCTCCTCCAGACTGGGGAAGTGTCCCATTGGAAGTCACGGCAATCCAAACACTGATCGCCCACGGGGGTCGAGACGCCGTTCGACACAGCGTGTTTGGCCCACAGCTTGCCAGCCTGTGGAGGAACCTCAAGCAAGGTGTTCAAGTGCGGGGGGGGGGGCGGGTGCTAAATGAAGACGCCGCCTAAGGCGCCGAGCGACTCATCCAGAAGCACCTAAGGCCCCAAACGCCAAACAAGGCCCAAACCACCCAACGCACCCACATGCGCCTAAGGCCGCCTAGACCATGCCTACGCGCTTACATGGCCTGAGAGCAACCAGAAACGCCCGAAGCTCCTAGGCGCCCAAAGACGCCAGCGGCCCCCCAGACACCAGCTGGACTAGTTGAACGGAGCCGCAGGGCCCTGCGGTCGGTGCCAGACCCCGAGCAAAACAACAAACGTGGTGTACGTCGCCCTAATGAGTGTTTCTTTTCGGTTAAATAAATGGCGAGGCCTTGTCTGTGCTACACCGATCTATGCTCTCTCGCGCTTGCCGCGCTGGAGGTATTTGCAATGCAACTCGCCCACGTCACTAACCACCCCTGTTCAACCGACCTCGAGCAACGCGTTTGATTATGCGTCAAGCACGTTGCCCTAGGTTCGGACGTAGCTGTGATATGCACGCGGCCCGAGTCTGCTGTACCATATTTGTAGACCAGCACAGCTTACACCCTTGTGTGACCAATGCAACTGACATGGACATCGTTTCTGAAGGGCAGTGAGGATGCGCGAAGTGAACACGACATGGAGCTATAAACGCATTACTATAAATATATATATATATCTAAGAGCGTGTCATTATCGACTTGTCCCCTCCCCCTAAGTGCATCCTCATCCTACTCCTTCGCGTCCCCACATGCAGTGGTGAGCCTGAGACTCCTCGCTCAGCCTGCAGCCCAGGGTCGTCAGCAGCCCTCGGGTCGATGAGGTCGCGCTCAGCCGCCTGCACGGCGGATGAACGCTAACATAATCGCGAATGGCACGACCATAGGCATGGGCCCATGATCGGCACAAACGCGCTGGCTTACGTCGGTGATCACCCGCCCCGAAGCCTCGCCGAAATCCAGCCCAGCCCACCAGGAGCGGTAGGCTTCAGACGCTGGCCCCGAGCTCTGGCCAGCGGCCTCCAAGCTCTGGGCAAACTCGTCCCAGCGGTCAAAGGCGAAGGCAAAGGCCCTCGACGACTGAATGAACGCCTGTTCGAATGCCATGTGGGCGTCCGCAACTTGCGGCCGCCAACGTGGGCATGGCATGACATCGGCATCATCATCGCCGTCTGGTCGGCCATCAGCTGGTATCCAAGTGTGGCTGTCCTGCCCATCAGGTGTGAGCACGGACGCTGGCCTAAGCAGCTTTGGTCGCTTGGCCTGCTGCTCTGGCTCTGACGCATCATCCGCATCAGCCGCGGGTGCGAGTGGAGGCGGTGCTTTGCTGGTCTGGCGCGTGATCGCGATGATGTCATCGTTCGGCTGCGAGGGGGGAGGTGAAAGCAGCGGCGGGTCCGCAAACCGCCTCGGAGCGGCGCCATCGGACCCGTCGAGCGGCGGGAGGGGCTCGGTAGACAGTTGTGGAATCGCCTTGGCCTTGGCGATTGGTCTGATGAGTAGGTGTGCCGGGGACGACATGACGTCGCGGCTGCGGCATGCGCCGCTAGAACCGATCTTGAGCCAGGCACGTTGCGGGCGGTGCATCGCTCGGCGAGCGCATCGCATCACATCAATTATCCGGCCACCCTCCCTCACCATCATCCTGGCGAACGGCGCGGCCCGTGGCCCCCTTCTCTACACGGCCTCCTGAGGCGTTCCTGCAAGGCCCCCGCCCCAGAGCATCCCCACCGACCCCAGGAGCTCTCATGATGAGGAGCCCAATCGGCGCATGTGGACTCGGAGAAGGCAATGGCCACGTCGGATGCGTACCGACCCCTATCGTTTAACGCCACAGCTGGGGGGGTAACACCGTCACACACAATGGAAACTAGAGCCCTGCAAGGCCTTGGAGCTGCTCTCGCTGCAGCTGGCGCACACCGCGTGGCCACCAGCAGCTCGCTGGCGGCGGGCGGGCGGCGGCGCTGGGGGGCGCTTGCCAGCCTGCCCTTTGCCAGCCCTGGAGCCCCTCCCCAGATCGAGCAGCTCGCGAGCTGCGCGTGCTGAACTGAACGCGCCAGTCACGATGGGGTAATAACTTGGGCCAGAACGCACCGACGCAGTGCAATGTCACAATGCCAGCGTCATTCCAAATGGACCAGGATGGCTCACAATATTTCACGATTGCACAGGGCGGTCCCAAAAGATGGCTACACCAAGGTCTAGACATGGTAGGACAGTGGTTTCCAGTTCCGAGCAAAACCAGGAGGCCACATGATAATCTCGGGGTCGCCCAGCGACGGCGCGCCGACCACCGACGCAGACGCCGATGGAGAGCCCTCGCTGCGCCCACGCGGACATGAGATGACGCCAGCAGGCCTCCAGCATGCGACCATGGACCATCGGAGCGCCCTGGTTGGTCATCACTGGGTTCTGGATTCTGGATGCCTCGAGGTCCTGGGCCCTGATGTTTTCACGTGCGCCTCTGGGGCCCTAGAGCTCCAACCGCCCCGCGACAGGAAGTCGCGCCGCACCCCCCCCCCCCCCGCCGTCCAGGATTCCGTCCGCGACCATCTGCCACCAGCCTTTCCCTGGAACACCCTAACGCGCAGAATTTTCCAACCCCTGAACTCCGACACCAAACCAGAAACAGAAACGCCTGCCCGCGAATTTTGGGCCCCTGGGCAGCCCAAAACCACCCCCGTTCAGCCAGCCAGCCCCCATCCAGAACGATGGACGGGCCACCGCTGAAAAACTGGCGTTTGGCAACATGTCCCAAGGCCCCGCCACGGGCCACGGATCCCAAGATCCGCCCGTCCCCAACCGTCGCCATCGACGGCACAATCACGAACCTCTGGCTGCTGGACAGACAGTGCGCCCTGGGGCCAGCAGACGGGCGGGGGCGCGCGCATGGGCGATATGCGGTGGCTTAATGCTAACCGTAAGTGCAAACCTGACGTGTTACATGACTGATGCGAACCCCGACGGCGGAGGAGAGTCATGTTACATGACTATAAGTCAACCACGCATTCAAAAAGAGTCGTGTTACATGACCCGTGTAAACAAAAAAAAAAAAAAAAAAAAAAAAAACAGTCGTGTCAGTCGTGTTTAGTCGTGTTCAAGACGTGTTTGAGTCATGTGCCAAACACGCTTGCGGGAACGAGTCGTGCGTGTAGTCGCGTCACAACCGGCGAAGATTGAACGAGTCGTGCGTGTAGTCGTGTCAAAACCACGAACACAAACCAGAGTCATGTCGAACACACAAACACACCGCGCCGAGAGCACTGAGACTACGCGACTTGGATCATACAGTTCGTTATGGTAATGTAGCCGACGTGCCCGCCACCACCCTCAGAACACATAGGGCGCTCGGGTGGCGCTACTGGGCCCTCTATATTCACTGCGCCTGTCGGCTGCAATCCCGACGCACCTCTTCATGCTAGGAATTT